GGAAAGAGAGAAGGTTTTGAAGGAAGGCGTGAAGAAGGCAGAGGTCATGGCAGAACCCGACCCTGCATCTTCGCATTTTGGTCGTTTTCTAAGACGTCAGCTTCCGTTTGTGTGGGATGCGCCTGTCTCCTGCCCGACTCCTTTGTGTTTCTCTTTTGTATGATTAAAACACGTCTGTGTATCAGTAAACCACCACCTCACACTGGCACTCCTGGTTTTGGGTTACAGCTTTGTCCCGGTAACAACAGCGAGGTTTTCAGCGGGTGTTAGACGCGGGTTCAAACATGTGCTGAGCGCGCCGGGACTGGCCGCCCGAGCGCCCGCTTCTGGTTAAGTGAAGGCGGGCGCAGGACTGCGGCCCTGCCCTGCAGGTAACCGGAACGGGCCGCCCGGCGATGTCTGGGACGCCAATGGCACGGCTTTCCCCTTCCAGAACTGGCCTCTGGCCTTCAGGGCGGTTGAGTGCTGCGCCGGGTCTGAAAAGGAAAAGTCAGGGCATCCAGTTTAAAGACGAAATCTAGAGGCGTCAGAGAAAAGGGATGAGCCAAGGGTAACAGAGTCCCGCAGGCTCCCCCGCTGAAAGGCTCAGCTCAGAGCCCAGGAGCCCCAGGGAGGGCAGAACACCGAGCACAACTCCCCCAGCCCCACTAGCAGAAGCCCCAGGCTTCCCTGGAGGATTCCTGGGGCCCAAGGCAGGCCCAGCTGGACCCCCTCGTCGGCGCCACGTCTTCGCAGGACACCGGAGGCCAAAGGTGCGGCGGGAGTTCCCGCTGTGGCGGCGGCGGCGGCGGCCTCGCCCTTTACCGCCAGTAGGACACCCAGCCGTCTGCGGCGCTTCCTCCCGGGGAGAGAGGAAGACAAGAGGCCTCGGGCCCCGTCGGGCCCGCATCTCTACCCCGGCCCCTTCTCCCGGGCCCGGCAGGGCCAGGTCGCCATCCTCTCCTTCGGTCTCGGCTTCCCTTCCCTCCAGCTCAGGGCGTTCGCCTCCTGGCCGGGCCACGCACGCGCACCTGGAGCCCGCCCGGCCTCCGAACTCGGCCAGGCCGTGAAGTCACCCGGCCACGGGTGCCCAGGACCACGGCTGACGCCGAAGCCTGACTTCAGGGCTCGAGGAGGCCGTGCTCCTCCCTGGGCTGGCGGCGCGCGGGCCTCGCCGGGGCCCACAGCGCCCGGAGCCCGCGAGGGAGGCTGAGGACCGGGCCGTGAGGGGGGCTGCGGCTCAGCCGAGGTTCCGACCAGAGCCGGAGCCGGACCAGAGAGAGGGGAAGCTGGCGGACGAGCGCCTCAAGGCCGCCCCTTCCCGGCCCGCAGGGCCGAGTGGAGCCCAGAAGGCGGCGCCAGCTAGAGAGCCACTTGGGCCTCGGGTCCCCCGGGGCAGAGATGGGAGTGCCATTCCCGGCTAGCTCCGATCGGGCGGTCGAGATTTAGAAAACACAGCTCTGAAAGCCCGCCGTGGATTCGGCGGGGAGCACAGGCTGTTCCCGGGCGCCACGTCCTCGCAGTGCCGCCCGGGGCCTCCGGGGCTGAGGGAGTGGAGAGCCGCAGGAAGGGTGAGATTAGAGGGAAGCGAGTGGGAGAGGAGTTGAGGAAACTGACCATGATCTCAAACTCCGAGGTTTCGAAAGCCGGAACTTAATTGACTTGATTGGATTTCTCTACTTATCTGTGAAGGGACGAAACACTCCCGAGGTGAAATACAAAGGGCCCAGAATCTTTGTGGGAAAGATAAAGGTTTGGGACAACAGAGCTTTGTAAAGCAAACTACCCCACCCTCACCTGCACCCCTCAAAACGACGGTTACATCAACATTCAAGTCTTTGTTGATCGCCAGCAAGCAGTTGAAATCGCTCCCCGACGCCTTTGGAGGGTGGCGTCATTTCAGTACCAAGTAATGATGATTATTGGACTAAACTTCCTAAAGCCGGGTCTTGGCAGGGCGCGGTGACCGGAACTCTCTGGACGTGGGAGCCCGCGCTAGCTCCCCGCCTCCCTTGCCCGCCCTCCGTCGCCTGCGGTCAGGGGGAATTCATTTCTACTTCGCCGTCAATTCAAAGGGATTTAACTCCGTGGTCTGTTAAACGAAGTTGTGCAAAGGTGATGGAAAAATTAGTTTCAGAGGGGGCTCGGCGCCTTTTTCTGACGTCCTCCTTTTTTAAAGTACGGGGAGAGAAACCTAACTGCGTGATTTGCTGAGTAGTCCGCTGTTTGTAGTGGTTGTTATTGTTTTTACAGAGAGGGTAATCTTTCCTGTTCCTTTGTGGGGCATCCTGAAAACTGAAGGCCGTGTGAGAAATTATTGAGGATCTGCTTTCCTTGCATGAGACCCAGTATCTGGACAGCTATAAAGCAAAGATTCATGTTCATTCCTTCTCTAACTCTCTCTCTCTGCACCCTCCACCCCCAGCCCCAATCTCATTCCAGTTGTAAACTACGGTAGGGTGAATATTATCAGTAGGTACTAGAAAATCTTGCCATCAAGTTGTGCCTCAGTTGTTGACTGTAAACTATTCCATTTCCTCATTTCCTTTAGCAGCAAAACAAAAACAATTATTAGACAAGATCTCATGTTGGGCTCAAGACAGCCTGTGCAGCAGCTAGGGAGGGGGAAATCAGCCAGAAAACAAAATGGTTGCAACTGCTAACATTCATTTAAAAAGTTAAATTAAGTGATCCTAATTTTGGTCAGACTTAAGAGCATAAGGAGTTTAAAATGAAATTAAATATTGCTTTTACCTGAGAAGCACCATAATCATTGGCCCATTTTGTCTTTTCTGGTGATTGGTTTACGAAATGCAGGTACAACTGAGAAGAGACCTATTTTTTTTCCCTCAGCACTTTCTAACAAAAACAAAAAAACAACGAAAAAACCTGACCAGGGTGCCGTATGTTCAACTACTGAAATTATAGGTTTTAAAACTTTTCTGAAACTCTTTTGTTCAGAAATCATTTCTGCCTGAATTGCTTTCAGATTCTGATTACATTCCCTCTCATGTTTACCTCAGATTTTGTTGGAAGTTAAAAAAAAAACCCTTAAATAAGAGAATAGAAACAAGGAATTCTTGTCATTCACATTTTCTCTGAGGTACTACAGTTCGCCCCTTCTCGCTTAAAAAATTGATCTGTGTTAAGACATGCTAGTAAAGTGCCTAAGAAATTGTTAGGGTTATCTGGCAGGGAGGGAAAAGCAAGGAGAGCTTTTGATTATTAGGCTCTCTATACTCAATTTCAGAGCAGTACTAATGGAAGTCACAAAAAGTTGACATACCAGTCTTTCATATCTTGTTCATTCATAGATTAGGCCCCCCTCAAAATTTTTTAAAAATAAAGTTTGCTAATTCCCTCTCTGACCCAAGAAAAACATGTTTTGGGAAGGAGTGGCTGAATGTAGGCTTCTCATTCATAAATGGTGGTATAAAATTAAACTGGACCCAATGTTGTGCTAGAACCATTTTAATATAATTGTACATATCTGCCAAATCCAGGAAGAAAGGTTTATGCATATATAACTTTTCCAGTTAACATCTGCAAGCATAAACAACGATGATCTCAGTTTATAAATTCATCAGGGTCAGAGCAATTGACCAATGTCTCTTTACTGCTAGGCTTACCAACAGCAAATTACAGATGAGTTAGTGTCCTTTTGTTTCTCTTCTCTCACTCTCCTTGTCCAGAGACATTTTGTTGTAAAGTTTCAGTGCAGCTCACCTCCAGCCAAAGGTAATCTTTTTAGATAAGTACTCAGTTGCTCTGAATTTACTTATAATTATAACCTATTTAATCACAGAAGAACCCCTGCAGAGGTGGAGTTCAAGTTTGCATACAATAACAGGAGATCACAGTTTTGAAGTCTAGCACAGATTAAAAACCACAGATGTACCATTTATATAAGACACACACTGATTGTCTCTTAAACTACATATTGACTCCTTATGAACATTATGTTTTAAATAAAGTAGTGCATCTAGGACAATCAGTCGCACAATTCACACAGCCCTGAAAAGTTTTTCAGTGCCAACTACCAGTTGGTCATGAAACGTGAGTGAGCTTGAGACACTGTCCATTCCTAAGATTCAACCAAGGATTGGCTACAACATTGGAACACCTCTGCTTAAGAAGGCTATGTCCTTCCCTCCTTTCCCTCACAATTTAGTTCTGTTTATTTTTGGTGGTATTTGGTTGCACGTGGCTAGAATGCTTTCGATCACTTTGCAAATCAGTAAAACCAATGATCTAAAACTATTATAGGATCTTAAGTATCAAATGGTTTGTCCATTTCAGGTAGCTGGTTGGCAGGCCCCTCTAAGGCCTTTCATTTTTCCTTCTATGCCTCCCGGGACATTGATCAGAAGATGAGTCTGAGCATCATACCATCTAACTCTTTTAACCAATGCCTGGCTAAAACTGGAATGTCCAGCTCAGTATATTTAAAAATCACCCACAAAAAGAGGTTCTGCAGGTCCTCACAAAACCTGGAATTTCCACGAAGATGTCTGATCTTTATAATCCAAGCAGTCAGCATTGAAGTTAAGCTTCCAAGAGGCAGTTTGGTCCTTATAATCCAAGCAATCAGTGGTCGAGTTAAAACCCAAGCTTGAAGCTCCATATCCCTGGGTGGAAAGAGAAGCTGGGGACTGATTGAGATGGCTGGTGACTGCATTGGTACCCATGGGACTGAGTGTGGTCCCTGGTCCAGGAAGCTGGTGATGCATAGGGGTCAAATAAGATCCACAGTCCATGCCCCCAAAGTAGGAAGTTGAGCCAGCATATCCTTGACTATAACCTGAAGCCTGAGTATAGGTCATGGGATAGGACCTCTGCATGCAGGAAGAGGAGGTGGACAAGGGATCTGACAGTGGGGAGATGGAAGCTGGGCTCCAGATAGACACAGGAGCACTGCTGCTGGAAATGGCTGGGACTGAGGTGCTAGAGGGGGGAGTGAATTGGCCACTTGTTCCACTCTCTGAACTCACTTCCCGAGCAGGAGACGTCTTCTTTTTGGCAGGTCTCACTTTGTTTTGACCTCCATTCTGCTGTTGCTGCTGCTGTTGGCGGCACTTAGCTCTTCGATTCTTAAACCACACCTTGAAAGGGAAAGAAACTTCTTTAACATGGTTTCAGTGACTCCTTAAGGAAAAGAGTGGCTCCCAGATTATAAATCCGTCCTAGATGGACAGATGAGCTAAGCAGACCATCTCTCCTGCCAGTGAAACTCTCGTATATGTTCCTGGAATTATAAGAAAGTTGGGGAGCCTCTCTATCTAAAAGCATTTGACCCTGCTTTACTCCCAGCTCAGAACAGTAAAATTTAAGATAATCACCCACATCATGACTAAAAATCCTCCCCCTCACTTTCCTATCTCTTATTTCACCCCAAATACACACATACACGTAAGACCCAGCTGCATTTTGGAACTCTCACAATGGAATAGAACATATCTATATCTTTTGGATGGGAACATCAGAGAAGTGAGGGAAAACAATCTGTTGTTATATGCCAGCAAGAACAGCCTAAATTCAAACAGTTTACAGTCCATCTTCCAGGTAGCAACTACTAATATGTAGGTTGGTTCCATCACTCTACTTTTTGTCTCTTCTAGAAAGACTCACAGAAGAAAGCTCCCAGGAGAAATGATCCTGTTGAGGAAGAAGGTCTGAAAGCTACTATTTGCCAAAACCTTCTTTTTGGTAAGTGGAGTGACTCGTATATACTCTGCTTTGAGCTCAGAGACAGACTCCTCTCCTAGGCTCAAGTCTGAGCTTTCAGGGTAGTGCCACTTGACACATAGATTGTTTACTGTATTATGTTCATCGGCTTGTCAACTTTGCCTCTGTGTGTAACTTTGAAAATTCTCTTTACCAGCCTCCTTCATGTTCTGCAATGAAGGTGCTGTGTTTGGTGTGTGAGGGGGGGCTCATCAGGGAAGCTACTGGCATTTTCTGGGCAAAAGTCCTTAGTTGTCCTCTTGAATGAGCTCTCCATATGGGTGTCTTAACTGTGGTAAAAATGATGCCGTGAAGACTGAGCACAAACCACCAACCATGCAGAGCCATTTATTTTCTTTCAGTTAAGACTTTAGTTCAAGCCTCACAAGTGCTAAAATTTCTTCTGACTTTGAAAAAGGCTCTGCTTGATCTGCAGTTTATGCTGATGTGTCCTAGCTGAAGGGGAGTCCCAGGTGTACATGTGGTTTAGGTGCTAAACATTCTTTCCAGAGAAATCTATATGGGACTAGCATTCCAGAAGAGTTGGGAGTTTACTTTCCTCTCCAGCTTAAGGTCAAGTTAAGGGGGAGTAAGGGGAGGGGGGAAGGTATCATTGGGATACCATGTTGACATTTTATCTGCTGAATGGCTCAGATCTAGCAAATTCTGTTCCATCCCTAAGAAGTCAAAGAAAACACTGTTACTGTGTAATTTCTTCTTCTACCACCAAACTGACATGTGACCTTGAGCAAGTCATTTACTCTACTTCTTCATCTGTAAAAATACTGGAACTATCCAGGAGCTAAGCTTCTTTTACCCCTAAAAGTAGATGAGAATGGGAGGGGGGATTTCCAACGGGGGAAGGGAAGAACTAAAATATTATGTGACTATCCTTGAAATCTGCCAAGGCTGGGCTTCTGTCCACCAGGGGTCCAAGGGTTCTAGGACTGTGCTTTATCAATGCAGCTAAATCACCAGTCTTAACCTTGCCAACTGGACCGGAAGAACCTTGGTTATAGGATTGGGCGGGGGTGGAGGGACAAAAAGGGGCACGAGGAGAAATCAGACACTCAAGAGGCCCTAAGAGAAAAGTTTACTGGCTTCCGATGGAGCTGAGCGTTTAGTTTAAAACCTTCCTTTGGTCCTCTCCAAGACCTGGAATTCTCCTGGGTCCTCAACAAGCACAGTGCTGGGGGGAGGGGTGGCACGGTCAGGAAGGATGGCTGTGTCTACCTACATCTGCCCTACCTGCACCCTGGACTCCGGCAAGTTGATTTTCAGCGCCACCTCCTCCCGCATGAAGATATCTGGGTATCGGGTCTTCGCAAATAACGCTTCCAGAACGTCTAGCTGAGCCCGGGTGAACGTCGTCCTCTCCCGCCGCTGTTTCCGAGGGGTGGCTGCGGGACAAGAAGCCCAGGGCCCTTTAGGGTGCGGGAGCAGCTTCTCAGTCACAGGGGTCTCTGCGGGTGTCCGACTCCCGCCACGCCCACACTCAGCACTCCCCTGGTCCTCGCAGCAGCTCAACCCGGACCCTACCCGTGTCCTCCCCACCCCCTCCCGGCCTCGGCTCCTCTGGCAGACACTGCCCCTTCCAGGGAATGCCCCACTCCGCCTGACGTCGGAGATGGCTCCAGACAGATCGTCTGTTCGAAAGCTAACCAAAAAAAAAAAAAAAAAAAGGAGGACAAAAAACAAGAACCCTCCAAAATCAACCCCTAAACCATCAACACAAAAACCCCACTCTGTGAAGTCAAAGGATCCCTGAGGACCGGCAGCTCGAACTGATGGGGCAAATCTCGATTCTGCCCGAGATCTAGGCTTTTTAGGACTCCAAGGGCCTTTGTTCCTCCATCTTTCAAATGGGGGCATATTTCATACTTCTTGTTCTAGGAGGATTTTAAAAAACAGATCTTATCAGAAAGGAAAGCACTCACACCCGGGGTAAATCACACCACTAAGGATTAGAGGCTAAGGGCCTGGAGGTCAGGGGGAAGCCCCAGGCTTGGCAGGGAGAATTTATGATGAGGAGCCCGACTTCGCCAAGACGGCACTTCTGAGGAATTGGACTTCGAGGTACAGGCAGGGTCCCCTCGACCAAATGACAAGGACAGTAGCCTTTCTCGCCCCACTCCTACGTTGTAGATCCACCTACTCCCTTTCCCCCAGCCCCTGTCCTCTCCTCGGCCGGTAAATGCCCTGTGGCTTTGAGCTGCTTCTAGGAAGGAAAACCCAGTGGAGACCTCGCCTGGAGCTGGGGCGGAGGCGACGCCACCGCCAACCCCGGTGCTCGGGGGAAAGAGGGTCACAGA